GAAATATATTTTCTTTTAAGTGTAAGTTGAATTCTTAAATAAGAAATAAATGCATACATGTAAATATTTTAATGATTACATTTATAATGTGGACAAGCATTTGCAGTACGTATTTCACATATTCCTTAATGTTTGAAAATTGTTTTAGAGAAGCATAATTATATACATATATATAATAAATTTCAATTGTAATTACCAAGATATGGTAAAGACTGTGATAAAGAAAATAACTGTGATCTTTTGTTTTCTTATTTATTTAATTTTGTTATTTTAGGTAAAAATACGTACAATTATGATAACTTTCATACTTAAAAATGTCAAAGTTGTCAATAATTTGATGCATGCTTTATATGCCATGGTATGGCAGTACATTTGACTTTTTAACCAGTTCATGACAAAAATGATTCACATGTTGTTCTTTAATAAACTATACAAAACAGCCGATAGATATTGACTTCTTTATGTTCATAAACGTACTATTATGTTGTTATAAAATCTAAATCACAAGTTTAACAAACACGCAAATGATTGGGTTTTAAATTATTAACAAGAAATTAAAGTCAGCAATTATTGAATAAATGCAGGCCTCTAATGTGTGTACGAGTCCAACAGAATCTTTGCGCTTATAAGTGTATCAGGCATTCTTTTCATTACTGAAAGGGAGACACAGGTAAAATTTTCATTTCTTCGTTTTGATTTTTTCATTCATTATTCTGTAAATGTTCTCAAAATGAATACACTAGACAGTCACAGGAACAATAAAGAATAAAATGGTGGTTTCCTAACTTGACCCACGTGGTTCTGGTTTGAGCGTTAAGATTTCACAATAGTTGTCACAGTGAACTCTGGAAACGTTTCAGAACATGTCAAATGAATGATTTAGGTTTGTTTCAATTATACTATATCCACAATATCTGTTATTGTAACTTCCATGGTTTGTTCAAGTCTAAAAAAACTCGGTGATTCTGTCGGCGTCTAAATTTCGTGCAACATATAATAACGCTTAGAAAACTCAAAATACACTGTATATAGAATTTATTTTTAGAAATTCATGTTGGGACTTTAACAAACGTCATTTTATCGTGATGTAAGAACATAAAATAATTTTGATACTTTTGTCATTTATTTGCCTGAGTATCCCAGGGTCAATGAGATAGCAGTTGAGTGTAAATGCAACAGAAAATACATAATACAATGTATATTTTAAGGCTTGCTTGACTAGATCACTACCTCGGCACTGTTATAGGAAAAATCTTTAATGGTCATCTGAGTTTTTTTTATAAACCATAAAGATACTGGAAAATCACCTTTACATGAATGTAACAATATTGGTGTGTGACTAGTCTATCAAAAAGACATCAAGATAATTTTGGACGGACTATGTCTTTTCGGTTTGATAGCATGAAAAAAACAGTGTGTAACATGGGACAAACTGTTCAAGGCTAGTGTGTGACTTGAAATCAATAAAAATAAAAATACGAACGCATGTCAATCAGAATGAGCATTTTTTTAATTCTATTAAATATCACAGACTCTGATGACTACAAAATTAATGTATCATATCAAACAAACAAATAAGGCAATCGTTTATAAAATCACTTAAGCAAATATAACAATCAACTATCATTTAAATACAATATGATGAAACATTTTATAAAGGAATTACATGACAAAAAATCAAAGTGACCTTTATGTAAACGTCAATTAATTAAGTTAGATATCTAAATACATGTACTAGTAAGAAGGGTATCGGGCAGTTGCATTAATCAATAATTTTATTACGAAATTGATTCCATAAATGAAATAAAATTATTTGGACAAACTGGTTTGAATGTGAAATATCATGACAATTTCAAAGGTCGAAAAAAGAGAAATATTTTGAAATTGTAATCCATTTTTATACACACAAACATTGCAACAAATAACACCTTTCCAATTAACCAGTTGGTGTATGATTATTTTCTTTAACACTGAGATATAAGAAGATAAGCAAGGCTAATTGGACAGTAAAACTGCCAAATTTTTATTTTTTTTGTAAAAGAAAAACCTTAAAAAAATCTTTATTAATAAAATATAAAAGTCTTAGTCAATACTCTTAAATAGTCATTGGTTACAATGCTAGAGCTTTCAAATAATATTTTTATAGACCTAGTAATTTTTGCACGTTCCTAGATAATGCTTTAAAAAATCAAGTTGTAGTTATAAAATATATATAAAAACAACGACACTGTAGATTCTAAAAAAAAAAATATTTGAACTTGAAAATATATAACAAGTTCTTGTTAGAATAGAAGTCCATAATCATATTTTTAAACATAAAAGCAAAAAGCACCGACTGCTGTAATATTTATACAAAAGATGAAAATAACAGTTCTATTAGATCTACATTAACATAAAATGAAAACTTGAATATTGGGTTTGTGTATATTGGTTTCCACTAAATTTCTGTAATGAACTTGTCCAGCCTTTATTGCTGAACTGTCCTTTGTAAATTTTGTGATATCAAGTTGCAAATTCAAAATAGTAGCAAAAAATAAGACGAAAATAGTTTAACTTTATAACTATCAAAATTGAAAATACCTTAGGTTGTCAGCCTCATTTTAGGTTTATAATTTTTTCTCACTTCTTTAGTTCAACACTTTAAGTTACTTTGTCATTGATATTTCATAACAAGATACAATGTGTATAGAAAACCAGGGCAGGTAACTAAGATAAGTGTCATGTTATTTAATACTTCTTTTCTCAACATTTTTTAAAATTTTGCATTTACATGTACATAAATTTTGCGTCCTGATGAAGGTCATATGTGGCATATATAGGTGATCAAAATATAATAACAAAACTTGTCCTGGTATTGAGTTGTTTCCTTGTACTATTTTCTGGCTTATGTTAAAGAAACTCCACTGAGGTTCAAAAGCATAAAGATATAAAATTTGAATTTTTTACATAGATCAGCTGTGGAACTTAAATCAGAAAGATATGCAAAAGATAATTAAGAAAAATATTCAGAAATAAATTGAAAATTATATTTTTTAGTTATCCTCAGCCCGATTTGAGTATGCTTTTTAATTTTTGCTCATTTTTTGCAATTGGAGGTATTATTCTGGAAAAACAGAGCAAGCAAATGATCTGAAATTTTGCATTTAAGTCATTGGTTTAGATCTACATTAAATAAAATATCAATCTTCAACAATTATTTCCAGTCCCGACATGTCAAAAAAACCTCTGTGGAGTCCCTTTAATTGTGCATTTTATAGACAATATAGTTATATTTTATCCATTAGAAGCTGATTCATAATGTGACAAGTTTTTTTTCTTTTTCAATTATAAGTATAAAAGATAAATGTTAGCATGTATGAACAATAAATGATATATGCGTCTAAAAATAAATATAACAGTTCTAATATATCAAAGACAAATCATCAATGTATAATGTAGTCTTGAAAACGACTTGTCTCAAAGACAATGGCAGTCTTTAACCTAAAAGTTTTATAAATAATGATATGGTAGATTTAATGATTTTGAGACAATAAAAGACCCTATTAAGTACACAACCGTTGCCAGCTAAGAAATATTTCTTCAAAACTGACTATACACTTCATTTCTTATAAGTAATCAATAAATCTATTGATAATAAAATCTGTTTCAAGTTTTTCCTATAATTAAAGTTACATATTCATTTCTGTTCAGTCTATTTTTATAATCTATTATCAAAATTATTCCCTCTTATCTCTATTGTATAGTTTGTTTCAAAATAATTATTCTCCATTTCTGTCGGAGTGTGACTCTCTGATATTTTGATATTTCATTTCCATTATGTATCCTCTAGCATTGTTGTAGTAGTCTTTACTCAACCAGAAACATTGATCAAATGTTGCATCTGTTGACCTGGAAACAAAACAAACAGAAAATACTAGTCTTGTATTCCAATCTAAACAATGGGAAATAACTTTTACACTTACATGAAAAAGTTGATTTAAGTACAGATGATTTACCTCCCCTGATTACATCAGAATGAAAATTTACTTTCTGATATTCCATTCATTCCATTCCACCCATTTTATTACTTTTCCAATTTTAATCCTATTTCTTAAAAGCCCTCGATTGAACTGACAGGATTTTTATGCTGTGTAACATATTCATAACATATAATTTATTATGAGGTTACTGAAAACTGAAAATGGTAATATAACAATTTATACACAACTTATGATGGATGTAATTCTATAGCAAAATTTAAATGAGTGAGCTTTCCAATGAGTTGCATTATGTTGGGTTGTATTCACATAATTCCTCAGGATGAGTGTGAATACAACTTCGCACATTGTAAAATGGATTTGCCCAGCTTTGATTTTGGAACAGTCCATTCAAACTGTCAAGCGATTTCAAAATCAAAATACAACAAACTGAGCTACCATCAGTGTAGAGCCTGATCAGACCAACTGGGAATGCAAGCTGCCCTGGCTCTATTTCTGGTTGCAAAGACTAATCACTTTTGGTTCCAGCAGGCCAGTAAGGGCGAATTACCTTTTTCCATTACAGAATTGAACCACAAGTGGGTTTGTATCTATCACCTCTGCTGGCATAAATGTCATGCTGTGCTGACTGATTGGAGCTAAAACATGGGACCAGTCTTCGTGGCGTGTCTGCTTCTTTCCCACCTCAAAAATATGGTTCGCGTTTTGTTTGCTCATATCCCCATCCAGCCATTTCAGATAGTACTGCTGGCCTAGACCAACTCTAGAATCTACAACAGCTGTAATGAAATATAATTATTGATAATTGATTTTAAATTTTAGGAAATTGAATTATGTTTTAACAGAAGTTGTTGATGATGATGAAGATCATTCAGTATGCTCTATTCATAATTAAAATAGATTTGGTTTATACTCAATACACTCAAATAAGCGTATCATAGTATAGCCTTATATATAGAGAAAAAAAATATTTCAATAATAACTTCATCCTCCATTCAGAAAGACAGGTTTAACTGACTGACAGGTTCAATAGATTCCTTGATTACAGGATAATTTGTGTTGGTTTGTTTTGTTTGAACTGTTTGTTGTTTCAACTTTATAGAATTAATGATTTTTATGTGCACTTTGTGGACCATCCAGTACTTATGTCATTCAAGTGAATCTTTTTAGCAGGACTATGAGTCCTTTTATTATAATTAGCTAGCCTACCTAGCTAGGCTATTTTTAGAAAGTAATTGCTTTTCCTAGACCTATATAAGAAATGCAAGAAATTAACAAGGGTGCCATAGTCACAAAATACGCCCGTTTACGAAAAAGCTTTAGATGGAGATGGGGGCATTATGGATAAGTGTTATCTAGCAAGCAAGTTTTTATTCTTGGCACTGTGTTGTTAAATGAACCTTAAAACAAATCAATAGGGAAGATATGCACAGAATGTGTGACCTTGACCTTGGTCGCAGGGACCTGAAATTTTATGCACGGCACTCAGCCTCACAATGATGAACATTTGTGCCAAATTATATTGAAATCCCTCTATGCATGTAGAAGTTTTGCTCCAGACAAGTGTTTTTCTATGAGCTCTGTGACCTTCACCTTTGACCTAGAGACTTGATTTATGTGCAGGGCACTACGTCTCATGGTGGTGAACAATTCTATAAAAGTAACATTAAAATTCCTCCATGCATGTAGAAAATATGCTCCGGACAACATCTGGATATTTAATCATCTCCAGTGACCTTGACCTTGCAAATATTAACCTAAATTAAATGTGTAACACCTGTAGTCATGATAGTTACCATTTGTGCTACAATCCATCAATAAATGATGACTAAATGGTCCCTATAACCATCTTCAAATTTTTATCTGAACTTTGACCTCTATGTGTAACCTTGACTTTGGTCGCAGGGATCTGAATTTTGCATGCGACACTCAGCCTCACAATGAAAAACATTTGTGCCAAGTTATATTGAAAACCCCCTATGAATGTAGAAGTTTTGCTCCGGACAAGCGTTTTTCAATGAGCTCTAAGTGTGACCTTGACCTTTGACCTGGAGACCTGGATCATGCATGGAGCAATACATATCATGGTGGTGAGCATTTCCATAAAGTATTATAAAAATTCTTCCATACATGTAGGAGATATGCTCCAGACAAAATCTGGATATTTCACCATCTTTAGTGACCTTGACCTTGCATATATTGACCTAAAGTACATGTGTCACAGCCGTAGTCATTATAATGACCATTTGTGTTAAATCCCTCAATAAATGATGATTAAATCGTCCCTATACACATCTTCATATTTTTATCTTTTTTTAAACGGGCGTATAAAAAGTACATGTAATTTAATAACTAAAAAATTCTGATTTAAGATTTTATTCTAGGGAAATACATTTCATTACAATTCTTAATCTTTGAATGAGCTGAACTGATATTTACTTGAAAATTAAAATATAATTAAATTTCTATGAGAAAGTATTTACATTTGATAAGGTAATTACTGTATGATCTTTATGAACAAATACCAAGTCTACAGAACACCATAGTTATCACAGTTAAGTATCTTGACCAATGAATGAAACATGTGTAAATAAATGTTACATTCTTTACAACATACTCAAGTCCAAGAAAGAGGATTATTTCATGCCCTTTGATTAAATTCTATTTTTAGAAAATAGATCAAGGGGAGTAATTGTGTAAGTCATTTATGAACAAAGTAATAACTTTGTTGTCTCCCTTTGATTAAATTCTATTTACAAAATCTGGATATTTCATCATCTTTAGTGACCTTGACCTTGTATATATTGACCTAAATTATATGTATCACAGCCATAGTCTTGATAATGACCATTTGTGTTACAATCCCTCAATAAATGATGACTAAATGGTCCATATACACATCTTCATATTTTTATCTGAACTTTGACCTCTAAGTGTGACCTTGACCTTGGCCGCAAGGACCTGAATCTTGCACGCGACACTCCGCCTCACAATGGTGAACATTTGTGCCAAGTAATATTGAAATCCCTCTATACATGTGGAAGTTTTGCTCCGGACAAGCATTTTTCAATGAGCTCTAAGTGTGACCTTGACCTTTGACCTAGAGACCTGGTTCATGTGCGCGACACTGCTCCTCATAGTGGTGAACATTTATATGAAGTTTCATTAAAATCCCTCCATACATGTAGGAGATATGCTCCGGACAAAATTGGACGCCGCCCGCCCGCCCGCCCGACCGCCCGCCCGCCCGCCCGCCAGGGGCGTTCCCATAATACGTCCCGTTTTTCAAACGGGCGTATAAAAACAATACATGAAAATCAAGATGAGCCACGTCATGACAAAACAAACATAGTGCATTTGCGACCAGTATGGATCCAGACCAGCCTGCGCAATCGCGCAATCTGATCAGGATCCATGCTGTTCCCTATCAGTTTCTCTACTTGTTATAGGGTCTGTAAGCGAACAGCATGGGTCCTGATCAGACTGCGCAGATGAGCAGGCTGGTCTGGATCCATGCTGGTTGCAAACCCATTATGTTGGTTTTGTCATGACGCGGCTCATATATTACATACCAAGTTTGTATAACCCAGTAACATCTTCTCTAGCAACAACAGAACGTCCAATCAAATTCTTCTCACATTTCTTTATATATTCTATCACTTGGTTATATTTAGCCTTGGGGATTTTATATACTTCCTCCTCTGTCAGCTTTGCGATATTTCCATCAAAGAACTCAACTTTTATGGTACTGTTAGAGTATGTACCGAGAACCTCCGCTGGAGCGTAACTGAACACATATTTAGGATGTAAGCCAATCACATGATCTTCTGGCTGTAAAAGGATATAGAAAAGATATAAGATTTGAGTCAGTTTATTTTGTATACTAGTCCGATCAATTTGTTTTTCTTGCATGCGTTTGGGCCTATTTGAAAAAAATATTATTGTTTATCAGAGTTCCAGAGACATATGTAATTAAAAAGAACTCTACTAAGGTCCATAAAATTTGAATTTCTTACAATCAACCGGAGCACTTAAACAGACAGATACGTAAATAATAATTAAGAAATATACTCAGAAATAAATTGAAAATCGTATTTTTGTGTTAATCTTTTCCTATTTTGGTAATTTTCACTATTTGAAATATAATTCTGGAAAAACGGAGTGAGCGGATAATCTAAAATTTAGCACACAGTTTAGTGGTCAAGACTTTCATCATATTGAACATAATTTTCGAAAAATTATTTCAAGTCCATTCATGTCAAAGACCTCAGTGGAGTCCCTTTAAAACATAAGGACTGCTGAAGTATATGTTTCACCACCTTACAAGCAGATGGCAAATTTTACTAATGTCAATAATTACTGAGTGTTTGAATCCCATCAGGGTCACCATAGTGAATTGAAACATTTAAGACAAATGTCCAGCTTTCTTGCTGATGTTTAGACATCTACCCAGATGAACTGATAGACATTTATCACCTTTCCTCAAACATTAAAGTTGGAAAGGCACCACTTATTAATAAACTCTCCTCAACACTTAAGACCAGTATTGAACTGAGCAATCCATTTGAGTGTTATATACAGCATTATAATACTGCACCTTTGTAACGTCACTTTTCACTGGATAATCGTGACGTTTATATGGTTTTATATACACAGCTGCTGCCAATATCTAAGAAATCTCCCTTTTTCTCATAAAAGGAAGTTTGCTGTATTATAAATTTTTTATAAATATTCCTGACAGGTTATATGACAATATATAAATGGCTGTTTGCAATATAACCCTTGCCTTGCCGCTTGGGTTATATTTTCAAACAACCTTTTTTATAGGGCCATATAACCTGTCAAAAATATTGATAACTAATAGTATAATTGGTACTTTACAAACCTGTATTGCATCAAATTTGTGTTCACTTTCAGTGAGAATATCCTCTCTTGATATTGTCTCCATATACCCTGTACTGTCCCTTATGATGTATTTATTATCTTTCCCTTCTACCATAACACTGCCCCTATAGTACCAGCCATCATCATTCCATCGTGCCAACACTTCCTGATTTACTCGTAACCCTGGTGATGACCTTTGTTGACTCTGAACGTCAGGTGATTCACCATAGCTTGTTCCTGAATATGTTATAAAAAATTGTATTTAAAAAAGAGAAAATAATTAAGTAATTGTTTTAAAAAGAGCTCTGGTTATCATGAATGCTGTCTAAGCATAGATGATGACTGATAGCTAAGTCTGTAGTGATGATGATGGATGACTACATAGTGAAATGAATGATGACTATGTAGTGATGATGATGAATGGAGACTCTGTACTGATTATGATGAATGATGGCTATATAATGATGATGAATAGTGACTATGTAGTGATGATGATGACTATGTGGTCATGATGTATGTTGACTTTGTAATGTTGATGACTGATAACTATAGAGTGATAACGAGTGATGACATTTTATGTAGTGATGATTAATGAAAACTATATAGTCATGATGTTTGTTGACTGTGATGATGAAAATGATAACTATGGAGTGATAATGAGTGATGACATTTTATGTAGTGATGATGATGATTAACTACATGTATAATTATCATCATAAAACTTTTAACAACTTTCAAAGGCTGAACTTAAGTAAAATCTTGATGGTATTAAAGCCAATAATTATGTCAAAGATCAAATTTTTGAAAAGCTTGACAAGTTAATAAAGAATTATTCCTTACTATACTACTCAAAAATATCATCCATTGCAGTTTTACAGACTACTTATTTTTGCATTGTTTGAAATTATGAAAATATCAAATACCGTCAGGACTTCCATTTCGTCGCTGTGGTGACGTGTCTTCCTCTGATGAGGAAGTGGATGATCGTCTATTTCTCTAAAATAATCAAAATTTACAACTATAAATAGAAAGCAACAGTGGTCCAAACATTTAGGGAGAAATCATGTTTTTGATTGATTTGGAATTAACACACTATACCGGCAATTTTAAAGCAATTTATTTATATATTATACTTATTTATAAAATATTGAGAAATACTGATGAAATAAAATGTGCATATTCATTTTCCATATTTTCGTTTCACTTTACCTTAAATACCTTTTATACTATTTTAGTATTAAAGTTAATAATGATAAATGAAAAACTGAACTAAAGTCACTGTCAACAAGTGGGTCATGACAATAACTCCACTTTATTTCTCTCCAAAGTGGAAATAAAAAAGTGTAGGCCACATTCCTGACCCAGAAAAGGCCTCCATTGCTTCCCTTAATTTCGCTTATTTCAAAACACTTGTCTAAACATATGAAATTTAAATCCTAAATCAATCCCCTTGTTCTGTATTCAAACATTAAAGCCTGAAATAAAATCAAAATATCAAATATGACAGGATAAGACTTACGGCTTTATCTGTGCGGTCCGAGTGCGAAGATTGTCCCGACTCATTATGAGACGTGTCAGATTCTTTGATCTTTCTACTTATTTTGTTTATCTTCCGAGCCTGTCTCACCAATCTCTGTAATGTGAGATTTTTAATACATTAAAAAAAAATAATTTTCAACATGTTTTAATTAAATTTGATGACAAAAATTATACAGTATCTTTTATCTTACATTACAATTGCAGCACTGTGACACTGGAAATTAAAGCATTCCTCCAAACTGGAATGGTTATATAGTTGTTTATGGTAACCTAAAAGAAAGTTTTATACGCATCTAGATATGAAATGTTTAAATTTTAGCTATTATTTTATACAAATATAATAATCTGATGCATAGAAAACTTCCTTTCCAGTGACTCAATACATGATATTTGATAAAGACATCTATGTTCAGAACATAATTATGAAGAGAAATAAATATCAAAAACCTTTGCCAGAACAAATTTAAGAAATTGATTAAAAGTAATAGGCAGTTATTAAGGATACCCTATGCTTTTGATCTTAAAGTCTTTAAATAAAGGTACAAAATAAACTTGTGTCTTCTTGTTAACATACAGAATGATATTATAATATCTTTAGTCTTTCTCCTACTTTCTCATCCAATGAGATTAGTACTAAATTAAAAAAATTTTACAGTCTATTAGTTTACTGAGCTGTTCATGTAAAAGTTACATCTATCTTATTCAGGTCAACATTGAACTTATAAGCTGGATGCTAATTAGGAAAAAATTAAAAGTCCTAAACATCTTCAGTCTCTCCTATATCGCTCCTTTTGTAACTCTTCAATTTTTTTTAACAGCATCCATCGTCGGATAATGACGGCCAAACCATTTACATTAAATTTTATCAGATTACATTGTTATGTTATTGTATTATGTTAATCAACCATGGGTATCCAACGATAATCAGCATCTAACTATTACATTATTAAACTATACATACCCTCTCTTGTCTAAGTTGTTTGCGTTTTTGTTTCTCTAGTTGATACTGTAGTGCTTGAATCATTTCATCTTTCTCATCAACATTAACCATCTTCGATGTCTCCGAAGTGAAACTCTGTCGAGACCTTCTTTCATTGTATATATCTGAATATATAAGAGAAGAAATGTTTGCAATAACTGCAAAGACTAAAAATGAAACTGTTAAAAAAGAATAAAATTCAGTTAGTTTTTCCAACACATACAAAATCTTATTCAGTTTTTCATCAAAGATGAAGCAAAAAAACATCTTTTCATTATTTCATCAAAGATAAAGCAAAAGGACAAGCTTCTCATCAAAGATGAAGCAAAAAGACAAGCTTTTCATCAAAGATAAAGCAAAAGGACAAGTTTGTCATCATTGATAAAGCAAAAAGACAATATTGTCTTCAAAGATACAGCAAAAGGACATTGAGTTAGGCTCATCTACTGCTTCTGGTCTGTCATCTTTTCATAAGTAATAACTTAGATGCAAATAATTAGCTTAAAAGAGCTATGATAAACTTCAATGAAATATGCATATTCTGTAGATATTTCTTCTCTGATTAATCAACTGAAGAGAGATATGGATGTTAAATAAGGTAAGGCTTATACAGAATTACATAATTTATGAATATATAATTATATTAAGTTTACCTTTTCTTGTGATAGTTTCTGAATCAAGCATTGAATCAGTCCTAACAAGGGGTGACTTCCTGCAAGCTGTGGGGGTCGGTCTATGGGGACGGTCATAAGGTGACTGTGCCCTTGGTGTAAGACTGCCTTTACTCCTGTCACTACTGTAAAGGGAATAAAATTTAATAAACAATAAATCTCACACGCACACACAAATGAATAGTATGATGATGTCATTTAAAGCAGCATGCCTCCAGAGTCATGCTAATTAGTTTTCATGAAAACTTTTTTAGATGTATCAAAAAGTATAATATTGTCAAGTGAACAAAGAATGACACAGAAGATATAGTCCTTAATGAATTAGTCAGGCAGCAGATATATGATGTTAAATACTGCAATATCATTAATTAAGGCATTCTTTTTTTTTTTTTTTTTTTTTTTTTTTTTAATCTTGGTGTACTTCAAGGCTGATTTTCTTGAAATATTTTGGTGAATCTGGATTCATGCAGCTTTAAAACTTTGGATGTGATTTTCTGTTTTTATATTGAATTTATCACCAATTTTTAATTTTCAATCTAAAATTATCATTAAAAAGGCTTGAAATGCTTTGATGAAATTATTTATATTTTCCCTATTTGTTTTAATGAGTTGTTAAGTATACACCATTCAACAATGCTTTCTTCATAAAAACAACAGATTTTATGAATGATTTAACACACAGTTTGCAACCATAACTTTCTTTATATTTTTTTTTAACGCACAGACCATTATGAAATAAAACAGCATAATTACTCTCTGCTCCTGGAACGTGACCTTGAACTTTTACTTGATGTCCTTGACCTAGAAAAAAAGTAGCAATCGATAAACAACCTTTTATAATAATCTTTCTTTAGAAAATCATTAATCTAAGTGAGTATAATTAAATGTCTACAGAAATCTCACAAAGAATGACAGACTACTAGTTATAGCAAGTTAGATGACATGATTTACACTAAGCTCTTTCCTTGTCTTAGTACATAAAGGTCATTTCTCTATGGAAAAGCTAAGAAGAATATTCTAGCAGTCAGCAAAGATATAGAAATATTAATAAGCAGAGAAATTAAGTTGTAGAAGAATGAAACCCAGAATTTTTTTTCTAGAAAGCATTCATAGATTGATAATTTGATGCATTTAAACTTTGAGAAGCTAGAAAATGAAAAAGCATCAAACCTGTTGCGTACTTGGTAAAAATCAGACCCTGATGTTGACGAAAATTATACTTATGAATTGCCCATTTGTTAAAAAAAATGAGATAATTGTTACATGTATATTACAGTCATTATAGTTTTGCATGGTTTTGATTTAATGATAAGTGGTGGTGGTGGTGGTGGTGGTGGTGGTTGGTGATAAAGATGCTGCTGCTCTTGATAATAATGATGATGATGATGATGATGATAATGCAAGTGATGATGATCATTATGATGGTAAAACTGCTACTTCCTGCTGTTGCTGTTGATTGTGTTGATGATAGTGATAGTTGTGGTGTGAATGATGATGATGATGATGATGATGATAATGATGATGTAATGATGATAATGATAATGATGATGATAATGATGATGATAATTATAAAAGTGCAGGTGATGATGATCATTGTGATACTGCTATAGCCTCTGATGATTGCGGGGGTGATGATGATAATGATTGTGGTGATGATGATAATGATTGTGGTGATGATGATGATGATTGTGGTGATGATGATTGTGGTGATGATGATGATTGTGGTGATGATGATGATTGTGATGATGATGATGTGATGATTGAATGATGATTAATGATGATGATTGTGGTGATGATGATGATGATTGTGGTGATGATGATGATGATGATGATGATGATGATGATGATTGTGGTGATGATGATGATGATGATTGTGGTGATAATGATGATGATGATGATTGTGGTGATGATGATGAATGATTGTGGTGATGATGATGTGATGATGATGATTGTGGTGATGATGATGATGATGATTGTGGTGGTGATGATGAATGATTGTGGTGATGATGATAATGATTTGATGATGATGATGATGATGATGAATGATGATGATGATGATGATGATGATGAGATGATGATGATGATGATGATTGTGGTGGTAGTTACGGTGATGACAATGATGGTGTTAAGGATGGTGATGACAATGCTGGTGTTGGTTATGATGATGATGATGATAATGATAGTGATTAAATTTATGGTTGGGACGCTTAGTGCAAATAATGGTAAATATATGTGCTTGCTGATGTGATACTGATGATGATTTTGAATGATGATGATGATGCTGATGATGATGATGATGGTGGTGGTGGTGGTGGTGAAGGTGGTAGTGGTAATGATGGTGGTGGTTGGGGTGATGATGATGATGATGATGATGATGATGAAAAGTAATGATAATGGCACTGATAAGAAAGATGTGAGAAGAGTGATTGTTGACAATATTGTTTGTTTCACCAATATTTTTTCTAATACCTTGGAGGAACAGTAGACTTTGACCTTTTGTACAGATGACCTTGAATCTGACAGTTGAACTTGAAGATGATCCTAGATCTGACCTTTAGAAAAGCAAAATAATTTTAGTAAAGAAAGTCTGTAGTAAATGAAAGATACATGCTTAAGAAAGACAAGCTTAGCTAAAGTTATGCTAAACATTAAGATGTATTGTAGCCAGTTATGCTATAAATTATGCTTACAAAATAGTACTAGCAGTAGCAGTATAGAGCCAGGCAAGCCTGTACATCCATGCAGTCTAACTATGCTAGGTTTTTCCAGCTGGTAGCTCAAATTTTTGTATTTTAAGAATGATTGGATTACAGGCGTTCAACATATTTTTCTTGCCCCAATAATGGTTTATTTATCATAAAATAATCTCCCCTTGATCATCAAGAAAAAAATTACTTCCTGTATACCCATTTACTATATTTCGGTAAATGATTGCTGGTAAGTAATTTTGTTCATGTTGATCAAGGGTAGATTATTTTATGATAATTTGACCATTATTAGCAAGAAAAATATGTGGCTGCCTGTTGAATGGACTAGACTACATAAATTCAAAAGAATTGATTAAAAAGCATAATGTAAATGTCCTATCATATATACAATACATCTGAAGAATTGTTAGCTTATCAGAAACATTAATATAATATCGTTTTTCTTAATAATATTATATAACTATTTTTTCAACTACTCTAATAACCAAAGTGTATATTGCAGTGAAAAGGTAAAGCTATTAAATCTGATATAATTATATTATTACTATTAGTTTCTGGCAAGATAAACTTGATTCAATGTCATAACGGTTTTTGTACATGTATGTCTCACAATTAAATATACCATAATTAAATTGATTTTCAATATATAAAATTCTGAATTGACTTTATGACTTCTATGAATCAAGTTTTTTTCTACCATAAAGAGAAGCTGTGATCTAACACCAATGGCAGATAAGTTGCGATGCTCTTTTTTAGATATATAAAAGCAAGCAGGACACACATGCAAAGTGGTTTGTGCAATTTAAAATTCATGAATTTAAAAAAAAATCAATCTCTTAGACAACTGGATACCTTGACGATCTTTCCCTTGACCTGCCTGACCTCTCTGATGACCTTGAAGAGCGCGACCTTGACCTTGAACTGTATGACCGTGATGAAGATCTAGATCTTGACCTTGATGAACCTGACCTTGATCTAGATCTTTCAGACTGTGACCTTGAACTCTGAGACCTTGACCTTTCCACATAAAATGTTCATTTTGAAGTGAGTAGAATGTGTGATGTATAATTACACCTGTTCACCATTTAAGGAAAATTACTTGCACCAATTCTGTGTAACTCCAGGTGTAATTTTTAAAAAGTGCTCACAGTTTACATGTACCTACATGTGCATTATAATACATGCTTCTGATAATAACAATAAAATGAAAAAAAAAATTGATGTGCCACTAAAAGCAATAACTTAAATAACACAGCTTTACATAGTACTAAAAATAAACCTATTTTGGTAAGTAAATATCTAATCTAAAAGAAATAATATTCAGAATATGTTTCCATTGTCATAAATGTTTGTTTTTGTTGTTGTTGTTTTTTGGGTTTTTTTCCAGATTTTTTCTTTCAATTCATCCATTAACAGTTTATTAATATATAAACCTCCATAAATTTCATTATCTAATATTTAATTGTTAAGGCACAGTTTTTTACTTTACTTTTATTGCTTTAATGATATTGATAATTGTTTGATTCTCATAAAACACAGACTATATGTATCTTTGTAAAAAAATTATGGGGACTTTTCACTGCTTTATTGTAGACACATCATAGAAGTATTATTCTTATGCCATTTTTCAAGCCTTAAATGAATGAAAATAGCTTTTTTATGTTAATTATGCAGAGAGTTGACACACTGATGATTATTATAAAGCAATTATTGTATTATCATGATTACAAATATAACAATATATCACAGTACTCTATATGACCTTCACCTTCGGAACAGGATAACACTTGTACTTCAATATTTACCTTGAACTCGACCTTGAAGATGACCTTGACCGTGACCTTGAAGATTTACTACTCTGTGACCTTGATCTAGATCTAGACCTTGATTTGTTTTTCCTTTTTCTGAAAATTTGTTAATGTTAATAGAATGCTCCATTGTTAACGATAAAAAAAGATTAAATCACCCTGCAACAAGCATGACAATTTGTGAACAGAAAAACGTGTACACAGTCTGAACATTTTTAACAAGCATTAAATCATGAATCAGAATGCAATAGTTTACAACATTTAGATTAAGAATATAAACACTGGACAAAATTCTACTCCATTGAAATGAAATACATGTAGTATTAATAGTTAATATTTTAAATTAGAGATAGAGAAAACAAACTAAAGATTTAAACTGTTGTTGCATGTTGGTAATTGCTAATGTCCTGCATATCATAATTATACATGCAAACTCTGTCATGTATACGCTTTTGTGTACGATTATTCAATCTTCTTAAAGCAGCATGTCTCCAGATTAATGCTAATTTTCATGAAAACCTTGAAAATGTATTTAAATAGTTTGTACATGTATTGTGAAGAAAACAAAGAAAGTAATTCATACATTGAAAACGGCACTTAACTCAACGTAATTTACCAAAACAAGGTCAAAATATGCAAAGGCAGCCCTTACTGTGGCTTACTGCCTAATTCACTCAGTAGAAATATGGTAATATTAAATACTGCAGTAAGCAATTAATCACACATAACATGCAAATAACTACTTGAATCTTGAATCTTTTTACTTTTCTTAAAATCTTAGAACATTTTTCTTAAGTTTGACTTTCTTGAAATGTTTTGGCTCATCTGGAGGCATGCAGCTTTAATAAATGCAACCTTGCCTTGTTGTAGCTTTTCTTATCTTTTTATGTCTAAGAAGATAAGAGAACTTGAGGTCCTATAGCTATAAAATACATACTTTTTCTGAGTCTCTGTTTTTTCTTTTTTCACAACCAGCTTTTTGGTTATTTTTTCTTTCTTGCGTCGTCCTCGACCTGACTGTGAGGACCTAGTTGAGGATGCATCATCCTCTGACTTCTTTGAACTCTGTGATTGAGGACTGGGCATAGAAGAATTCTCCGATAAGGCACTCTCTTGTCTGTTATATGTGGAATTAAATATCTTAATTATAACTTTATAATTAGATCATTGTTCAATTAATGGATTTCATCAGCCAGTATGGAATATCATTTAAAGCAAACTGGGTTGGATAAACTTGGAAGTGGGTGTGGTAATTTATAGGTTGGGAGCGACAAAATCAGGTTAACGCCCTGAAAAAGCTATTGGTTATTATAGGCTATTATATAAAACACTGAAATCAGTGCCTTAAACTTTGTTTATATAAATGATGCCAAACTGGCATGATCTTTGACCTTTAATCAGAGTATTCAAATTGACCTGAGCATTATAAATTCAAGGGGTATAGGTTCCACATCGCTGATTTGCTGCGTCTGCAATCTGTGGGGCCCTTAAAGAGGATTAATGTATTAGATGAAACTAATGATATCTTAATGGCATTCAATGCATTAAGCAGCTTTATAAAAAGAATGTCCATACTAACATTATTATCATGCATCTCCTAGCTATTTAGAAGTGGTTTGTCCATCATCATGCAGAAACAGTTGTAATAGTTGTAACAGTAGAACATTTAAGCAATAGTAACATAGGCTGAGAGCATAGTTAAAGGGACTTCACTGAGGTCCAAAACACTTAACAGTTAAAGGGACTCCACTGAGGTCAAAAACACATCAAATCTAAATTTTTACATAGTTCAGCTTTGGCACTTAAAACAGAAAGATAGGCAAAAGATAAAAAGAAAATGTATGAAGTAATAAATTGAATATCGTGTTTTTCTGCTATTCTTTAAGTCCAATTTGAGTAAAAAAAGTTTTGGGTATTTTATTCACAATTAGAATAATTATTCTGGAAAACAGAGTAAGCAAATGATCTGAAATTTTGCACACAAGTCATTGGTCTAGACCTAAGTCAAAATGAACATTAATCTCCAAAAACATAATCCCAGTACCGTCATGTCAAAATACCTCAGTTGAGTCCCAAAAGAGAATGAGAAACTGACACTTATTTTCCTCCCTTTCTGAGTATATGCATAAATAAATCAGCTTATGTACAGTGATCTACTCTTGAATAAAAAATTCTGGCGAAATGTTAAGCAAAGAGATTTAATATTCATTCTCAATTTCTCTTCTGCAATTACTCAGTTAAAAAATAACAAATGGATTGTCACTCACTAACAAATGTTCTTATTACCTTAAAACAGACTTGAATATCTGAATTTACTTGTAGGTACATTTGTACATGTACATTGTATTTTGAATATACAATGTACATAGTATTACAAAAGTTAACATCATATTAACTAGTTATGTTTCTTCCATACTTGTTACTCAAAAAAATACAAATTCCATGCAGTTTTTTTATATTCTTACATGCTCTTTTCAAGCAAGTTCAAATTATTTTTACACGGTTTCCATAGTTACCTGAGTATTTTCTGTTGTTGTATATGAGCTATATATCGAATTGCCATCTCAAACCTTGCTTTCCCTATCTTTACTATAAACTTTCTCATTGTCGTCTCCTAAAATACACAAAATGAAACAAAAAACATAAGTTAGTTTTTCATTTAGGTTAATAATTATGCCATACATTGGAACATTACTTTAAAGGAACTACACAAAGGTCCCATCGTCGGATACCCACGGTCGAACCATTAACATTTGATTGCATGTTATGTGACACGTTTATCAATCGTGGGTAACCGTATCTGACAGTGCTGAGGTCCAAAAGCTTGAAAAAATAAAATTGAGTTTCTGACATAGCTCAGATTGGTCATCTTTAACAGAGTGATAAGCAAAAGACAATTAAAAAATAAATTAAGAAAAAATTGAAAATCATATTTTTGTGCTACTGCTAGCTCAATTTAAGTGAAAAGGGTTGCAGATTTTTTATTTTGAGCCAGTTTTCCCATTAGATAAATTATTCTAGAAAATAAAGACTGTGAGCGAATGATCTGAAATTTTGCACACAAGTCATTAATCTAGACCTACATCAATTTTGACACAAAAATCTCTAAAAATTATTCAGTCCCAGAACATCAAAAAACCTCAGTTGAGTCCCTTTAAAAAAACACATCTGTAAATGTTTCAAAATTGTAAATTAGACATCGCTTTCATGTTTTGTTTAAGGCGGTGCTTATGGGAGCAAGGACAGTAGCATATGTTAAGAAGCACCATTCATAGACAGGCTTAAACAGAGCATGCAACATTTTCAATTTTAGTGTGTTAGGCGTTCTTTAAAATGGTTTTCATTTGATATAATTCGCAAAGATCAAATAACTTTCATGCAAAGATCAAATAATTTTCACTTTCACTTTCCAAATGAGTTAAAACTTATATAAAGAAATAGTCATTTAAGTTGCATAAGCCAATATTATTTTGAAAGTTATAAGACAATAAATTACTTTTCAAAGAGTTATGACAGAATGTGAATTAGCTCCGAACACGGCTATAATTTGGCAGAATTTTAGAAATTTGCATCGAGACCTCTAAAATTTTGAGCAAAATGAATGAACTCAGAATTTAAAGGCCCATCAATATGCCCCAGAAATGCTTTTATTTTATGTCTCAAAACCTGTTTATTTTTGGTGTCCTGTTAATGATTCCGGAAAGTTACTAATTGGCCATTTACCTAAACTGTATCGAATTTGGTTCACGGGCCACCTTAATTATTTCATGTTTGACAAGTGAGATTGCCAGAAATCTCTTGTATCATCCTTTCATTAAAATAATTAATTATCTGAATTGTTGGTGACAATGTAAAAACCTTGTCACAAAAAAACAGATGAAATTTAACAAAAAAATATTTGGTTAAGAGATGAGGTAAGGCACACACTGGTAAGACTGTAATTTGCTGACAAGGACATTTCTATTCTTTTTACATTAACAAATATACTATATTTACTAAACTACTTCAAATCAAGTCCTATATTTTATACACTTAATGTCATGTTTATCATAAAATGTTAGCAAAACTTGATAAATCAATATAATTTAATATAAATCAATTGCTCTTTACAGTGTTGGTAATATAATATGCATGGCGCAATTTTATCTCTGCTAGATAATATAATCATATTTCAAAATTTAAAGCAGCACATCCAGTATATTAACATGCTATAGACAACAGTCGTTCGGCACATTAGTCATGCCAATATTGGTCAGATTATCATAAAATAATCACCCCTTGGTGATCAACAACAAAATTACTATGTAGCACCCGTTAACTATATAAAATATGAGTATATATTTTATATAGTTAACAGGTGCTTAGGATAGTAATTTTGTTGTTGTCCACCAAGGGGTGATTATTTTATGATAATTTGACCGTTTAATTGGCATGGCAAATGTGCCGAACACCTGTGCTATACACTAGCACCTAACTAGCTATAACATTAACAATGTTTTTGACTCACTTCCAAAAAAATATTGTTGAGCTTATAAGAATTTTTATGTTTGACACATAAATATCAATGTTGTTGTTGTTATTATTGTTGTTATTATTATTATCATCGTCTTTATTATTATAATTTATTATCATCATCATCATTATTGTTGTCATCATCATCATCATAATAAGAAAGGAATAACTGAAGAATTTAAAAGTTCAAACAGGAAGATATCATGAAGAACAAGTATTTTAGATCAAAAAATAGTTTATAAAACTATAATCTTCATTTTTGTATAAAATCAATTTTGCAAAAAACAAGGAATCAAAATACAGAGTATGTTAATTTGCTATAATATTTTGGAACAATAAGCATAAATTTCACATTAGGGTATACATAAATTGTCCAACTTATTGTTTAATCCTTTTTTACTATAAGCCTATTATAAAAACTGTCAATAAAACCCTTTTGTACATATTTACAAGTGGTTTAAGATAAAGATCTAGTTTATGTTATACAATACACAGTCTAGTACGATTATATATACAGTGTCTTAATATACTAAACTTAATAATATTGTAAGATCAATATTATAATATTATTGAAAATATAACAACTTATTACCGGTATATAATTTATTAATGAGTCATTCATTATTCTTGGGACAGAACTGCATAAATCTGGTACATGTATAATCTAAGGCAAGACCATCATATTAACTTATAAGCAAAACCATCATATTAACTTAGGCAAGACCATTATATTAACTTAGGCAAGACCATCATATTAACTTAAGCAAAACCATCATATTAACTTAGGCAAGACAATCAGGTATAATCTAAGGCAAGACCATGATATTAACTTAGGTAAGACCATGATATTATCTAAGGCAAGACCATGATATTAACTTAGGTAAGACCATGATATTATCTAAGGCAAGACCATGATATTAACTTAGGCAAGACCATGATATTAACTTAGGTAAGACAATCAGATATAATCTTAGGCAAAACCATCATATTAACTTAAGCAAGACCATGATATTAACTTAGGTAAGACCATGATATTATCTAAGGCAAGACCATGATATTAACTTAGGCAAGACCATGATATTAACTTAGGTAAGACAATCAGATATAATCTTAGGCAAAACCATCATATTAACTTAGGCAAGGCCATGATATTAACTTAGGTTTGACAATCAGGTACAATCATAGGCAAGACCATCAATATTAACTTAGGCAAGGCCATCATATTAGCTTAGGCATAATGGACCATCATATTAACTTAGGTAAGACAATCATATTACTTAGATAACACACTCAGATAAATTCTTAGGTAAAACAATCAGATATGTATAAAAGTTTAAAGATGTTTCTGTAAAGTAAAGTGTCTGAACAAAACAAACAGTCTTTAAATAATCTCAAGAAGAGAACAGTATAATGTATTATGGTTTTATAAATTCATAAATCAAGGGTTAAAAAAAGCTTCACTGTACACATGTAAAACTTTATAAATTTTCTTTATTTATTCAAGGATAGAGAGCACTCATATTTTATTTGTTTAAGGTTTGAATGTTTTGTTATGTAAACAGTAACAGCACAATATGGCTCTAGAATATCTTAAAGGACTGCATGATTGTGTGTAATGTTGAATTTCATTGGACAATGTACCATTTATATATCCAGCTGCTTTTTTATTTTCTTATGTACATGTACAGCCTGGGCAAAACCAGATTTGAACTTACTTGTAAGTTTTAACTTGTGCATTTTTTTACTTGTCCGTATTATATTCATAAAGTAAATTTCAGAAGAAGTCTTGTGTCCTTGTGTGGGCCGTACAGACTGTGGTACAACTCAGGCATTAAGGACAATTGATTTTGCCGCCCCAATACATACATCTATCACCGAGGCGCATTGAATCAATTTCTGCGCTTATAACTTCAGCATCACAGACAATTATGTGTTTTTCTGTTGTCAAAGGTTTTGGGATGTTCTGCACTCAAAAGCACTTGATCTTGTAAAAATATTAGGTTTTTGGAAGGAAGTTTTAAACACAGGTTGTTCTACACTCAAAAGCAAATGATCTTGTGAAAGAAAATATTATTGAATACACAGTCTGAGTAATGCAAATTTGATTATATATTGGTTTTCATAATTTTCAATCACGTCTCATTGTTTGCATATCCTCTTCTGTTACTATTTTTAAAACCATTTTATAAATCAAACATAATTAACAATATCAGATTTCAAGTATGATTTTATGCAAGCTGAATTATTCTGTTCATGTTCCAACAAGGACTTTGCAAGGAATAAAAGATTTTCAAGGTTATATAAAAATCAAATGTTATTGTACAGCTTTACTATGAAAGCATAATAAAGAAGCATTTAATATAACTTCTTATTGAAATTTTTTTTATATTGTAGAACTTATAATACTTAATTATGACTGGATTGTATAAGTTTTTATATAATTATATACCAAGCAATTTTTTCACAAATATTTTGATTTGTAATGACTTTCCAACTAAAATATAAGGAAATTTCAACAGATTATGAGATATGAAACTGACTCACATTATGCCTCAGAAAGGAATAATTTTTTCCTTTCTCTTGAAAGGGCAAACATGAGATTTATAATGTTAATTTAAATAATAGTTTAAGAGCATGTTAAATGCTTACTATCTGAAGAAAGTTGTTCTGAATGTGAAATTAATTGTCATAAAAGTAGCAAAATGTAAACAAAGTACTTAGTGTTTTAACTTCCATACAAAATACTAAATCTCTAAAACTGTACTTATTCCCAGAAAACAACAATATGATTCACGTAATTGGCCAGCGAGTACCGGTAACTTATTGGAAACTAATAACATGCAGGACACTAAAATTTGAAAAGCTTTAGAGAAATAACAATAAAAGTTTTTCTGGGGAATAATGAGCCTGAAAACAAAATCCATTTAGCTCCACCATCTTGTAAAAAGAAAACTTTTTATGTTTCTTACCCTTTGTCCATTATAAAGTAGAACAGAGTAAAACTTGGCGTGATGACGAGCATCTTCGGGAGTCACCTCTACAATGGCAGGGACATAACATTCTGACTGCAATGATTGATTGAATACTCTCACCAGTACGAAATCTCCAGGCTGAAATGTATAATGTGGACAAATTTCGTATTAAAACTAAAATTTCTTATCTGTTGAGAAGAAAAATGGCCATTATCATATTACATGGTCAGTTCTTGTCAAAATTTTAGGTAAAATAAAAAATAAGCAACATTGCATAATAAAAATTTGATTATTAACATTTTATTCAAGACATTGTAATCTGTGAACATTTTTAAAACAGACACATGGGAAATAAAATCATAATAACTTTCAAAGAAAAGTCTACATTTCGATAATATTTGGCAATACAAAATTTTCTTGTCACCATCTTAAATATTTCTTTTTCAACAATGCTATGAACTATTGTCAATTGTGGCCAAGGCAAGTGTGGACTAATAGTTAAGGTGTCTACCAACTCAGGGATCATTAGTTTGAGGCCTACTTTGGTCACTACCATGTTTCTTCATAGGACACCATTCCAGGAAGTGAACTTGAATGTGATAAATATAAGGTGTAAGAACTTGTTTCACAATCAAGCTTAAATAATATGTTTAAACTAACAACTGTCATGTATCATAAACATGTTTGTTCACTAAAAACCAAAGAGACAGGGAAAGAAGTGAAAAGTAATACACTATCTTTGTGACCATTGATAGTATGGTAGCAAGTTTGGTAAGCTATACAAGTAATGTCGGGATGACCATGCTAATATATTATTCATACTGACTACCAGAAATGTAGGATATACATGTAATCCAAATATATTTAACATCAGTAGCTATATTTTATAACTGATATATATTGTTAATAATTTTATTTTGATAAAGAGAGTACAACAGAAGGATTCTTTTTTAATACTTGCATCATCTTATTAATTATTATTAATTTTCACTAGAACAAAGTCAGTCAAATAATGAATAATTATTCTAACATACCGCAAGTTCTGGTCTTGGTATAGCACCACTCATCGGAATGATCATCTGAGTGCGAACCTTTTGCCTCTTCTTGTTGTTGAAATTGACCACCGCATATGTGGCTTCTGCTGTATGGCCGACAGACCCTGAAAAAAACAACATGTTTTGTGATGATGCTGTGATAACTCTACTATGTCAAAGAATAGTGATATAAACATTTCTAAAAAAAAATCATATCAGACAGAAGAAATGTATCCTTACTTAAACTATTGAAATAAAAGATTTAGAAATTGGCTAGAATTATAATTAAGTTAGTTATAGCAAATTATTCACCCAAGCCTTCTTTTAGATTGACTGTTGTAAACAAAACATTAATATTTATTTTTGCACTATCGCAAAGGAAATTGTGACTTTGTTTCATGGAAACTATTTTTTTAGTCTGTTTCGACAGACTCAGTACTGCAGTTCAATATTGTAAAGAAAAAACATCTCTTATTTATAAGCCACTGCATATCAAATTATCAAAATAATGACCCTTGGTTTGAAAGTGATGGTAACTAGCACTTTACAGTACCGTCCATGAACTGAGGCTCAATCATTAAATCGAGCCTGCAACATTTTCAATTTCAGTTTTGTTGATTTGAACGTTTATTGTATGGATTCCGTTTTTCTCTATTTTAAATCACTGCTCCCCTTGTTTACAACATGACTCACCTGGATAATATAGGCCATCCTGTTTATTACAGGCTATTACACGTAACCCCACCATGTCGTCTGTCTCTTTATCAGTTATCTCAGATTCTGTTTTACTATCATAGTCAGTACTATGTATAGGAATAGAATCTGTCGACTTTGGTACAGGGTTTTTTCTTGACCGGATCTGAAATTTAAAACAAATCAAGTTTAAACACTAATTATGTTAATTCAATAACATTCAGTGAAAATGGAAACAATTGCAACAATAATTGCAAGCGGTAAACACATGGAAACAATTATGAGTGAAAATGGAATCATATGACAAAAGTAACATTAAATTAGTGAATGTGGAAACACATGACAATGATATTAATAAGTAAAAGTTGAAACACATGATAACAATAACAAATGAAAATAAAAACACATAAGCACCAGCAATAACAAATGTAACTAAGGAAACACATGAAAGACACTCAGGTTAAATAATTTATGACAAACTTTTCTGGTATTAGTTTCTATAGTCCTTCATATGTCAGTCAAAAGTTTGATACATAGTTTATGTTTTGTAAAATGTTTATATGCATACCGACAATAAATAAATTTTGACTTGATTTGTCCTCACAAAATGCATCAAATTTGAAATATACATCAGTGTCACATCAGAACTGATTTAAATCTTTAATAATTCTTTATAGACTCATCAATTGTAGCCCTGACTTCCCAACCTCTGGAGAATAGGTGGGACTTTTGTCTGTGCCTTTTGAATTTTCTAATCCTTGAGAGACATTCAGATGGTAAAATTCCTGTTAAAGGCCCAGGCAAGCATTTTGAACATTATGTACCCTGGCCATTTTGATGAGAAAAATAAAACCACTACATTCACCTTGCAGTGCAACTTTGGGACATTCAAAATATAAAGCCTGCCTCATTACTTTAACTATCCTGTGCAGCTGATCCCATACTCTTCTATGTTGGCAGTGAAGAGACAAGGCGGTGCATAGAAAAACCGGAAAGCACCGGATAGCACCGAAATACCGGAAAGCACTCAAATTTCTCATAAAAACATATGAAAACGTTAATTAATCGGTTTGAAAGTGTTACCAATCGATTTATTAGATCAAAATCTTTCAGACAAGTCATTTTTATAAATATATATTGATAATTATTACGAGTATTTAGGAAAATAGATATATCGAGTGCTTTCCGGTCCTGTTAAGATACATGTACATTACCGGATAGCAATATTGTTTATCAAAGTTATACATGAAAACTTTATTTTATTGGTTTGAAAGTGTTACCAATCGATTTATTATATCAAAATCTTTCAGACAACACGTTTTTGTAATTATATAATGATTATTTTTACGATTATTTAGAAAATAAGATATGTCGAGTGCTTTCCGGTCCATCTATTCCGGTCCTGCTAAGATACATGTACTTTACCGAATAGCAATATAGTTTATCAAAGTAATACATGAAAACTTTATTTGATTGGTTTGAAAGTGTTACCAATCGATTTATTAGATCAAAATCTTTCAGACAACATGTTTTTATAAATATATAATGATAATTATTACGAGTATTTAGGAAAACTGATATATCGAGTGCTTTCCGGTCCTGCTAAGATACATGTACATTACCGAATAGCAATATTGTTTATCCAATTAATACATGAAAACTTTATTTTATTGGTTTGAAAGTGTTACCAATCTATTTAGTAGTTGAAGATCTGTATATCATGACGTTTTTATAAATATTTTATGTTTCATTACGCGATTTTCAAAGTTGTTACAAAGTTGTATTGATTGCTTTCCGGTAATGCTAAAGTACATCTACTTTACCGAATAGCACTCGAATATTTATATAAATCACACGTATCCTTCATATTAATTATGTGAAAGTGTTATAAATTGATCAATTAAGTTGAACTAATTTCATTTATAAATATTATGATTAGTTACACGATTTTTCAATCTTGCTTATACCATATATCAATGTATCATATTTGTAATATTTTATAGGTTGTGTGAAGGACAGAAAGAGGATGTGTAAAAAGTACCAATAAGTTATTCAAAGCATTGAACCATATTTTTTATTATTATATTTTTATATTATGTAAAATAAAGAAAAACTTATAAATTTTCGTTCAGTTATGTCTTTATTTTTACCATACTATGTGTACCGAAAAGCAATGTGGTCATCAGTGGAGGACAGTAGTTGTTGTATTGTTTATCACACGTGCTAATCCATGCTGATTAAAGACCTTGTATATTGTAGCACAAAAAGGTGATGATTCAATCAATTTGTACACAATTATGATAATTGAGAGTACCGACCTGCACATCAAAGTTGCATTAATTAGACACTGTCCTTTACAGTGCCATTATCGGTGCTGGTGAGTTCAGACTCGCACAAACTCATTCACAATTTCAACTCACCAAATCTGTGTATGTAGACATGACGGACGAACAGAGACGCAAGCATTTTGTCCGTTTTCGACGCCACCCGTATCAAAAGCCCGGTTACATGACATCTACGGACGGACAATCGAAAAATTAACACTCGGACTGTGACAGTGAAGAAACCCAAGACGGGATAAATATCAATGCATAGATGACCGCATTAGTAAGTTCGAGTGTGTCTTAAGATGTCATTTATGCTCATCAGGCTATAGTCTAGCCCATACTCGAACTTATATACTACAACAAAATATATTATGTATTGATATTTATCTATGACCGATGACATTGACATGACATTCATTTTTGTTGTCTGGAATTGCAAATTTTTCATACGTACGTTGCAAACATTTTTTTCTTCTTCACAGTGCCTGAAAATTTATGTTGGAAAAAATATGTTGAACATAAATATTAAGTATCAATATCAATGTATATTATATAAAATTTATATCACGACCGCAATAGTAGGTTCGAGTGTGTCTTAAGATGTCATTTATGCTCATCAGGCTATAGTCTAGCCCATACTCGAACTGAAATGGATTTACCATAATATAATATGCATTGATATTAATATTAAATAAAAAAATCTAGGGGTCTGCCTATGTATATATATTTTGTAGTTTTATATGTATATAATAATGAGATAGTTATTTGTTGATTTTGTTTTGAACACATCACTGTTTGTAAATATAATTAAATTTTAAGTTTAAATGACATTTCAATATCATAAATAATACCTCAAATAATCAATCAGTTAAATACATCCAGCTATTGTGTATTAACACCTCTTTAAATGTGATAATTAAATCAGTGTGTGTCCGTTCAATTTTATCAGCGTGTGCCCGTGTAATAAACGAGGCGTGAAGTGTGCCTTGATTGCTTTCAATATCATACTTATTTTTCAATTATGTATGTATATATGTTTGCTAAGTTCTGTTTTATATCTGTTTATATTGTTCTTAGTAATTAGTTTCGTTTATTTTTATTTATTGCACTGTTTATTGTCAAAAATAAAAAAACATCACTGAAAAAATTATTGTTCTTCTCTTCCTGCTATTTTGAATCCTCTTGTCTTCCATATAGCCTACAACACTCGATATATCTATTTTCCTAAATAATCGTTATAATAATCATATTATAATTATAAAAACATGTTGTCTGGAAGATTTTGATATAATAAATCGATTGGTAACACTTTCAAATCAATAAAATAAAGTTTTCATGTATTACTTTGATAAACTATATTGCTATTCGGTAAAGTAAATGTACCTTAGCAGGACCGGAAAGCACTCGATATATCTTATTTTCCTAATCAAACGTAATAATAATCATATTATAATTATAAAAACACGTTGTCTGAAAAATTTTGATATAATATATCGATTGGTAACATTTTCAAACCAATAAAATAAAGTATCCATGTATAACTTTTATAAACTATATTGCTATCCGGTAATGTACATGTATCTTAGCAGGACCGGAAAGCACACGATATATATATTTTCCTGAAATACTCGTAATAATTATCAATATATTTTTATAAAAACGACTTGTCTGTAAGATTTTGATCTAATAAATCGATTGGTAACACTTTCAAACCAATAAAATAAAGTTTTCATGTATAACTTTGATAAACAATATTGCTATCCGGTAATGTACATGTATCTTAACAGGACCGGAAAGCAATCGATATATCTATTTTCCTAAATACTCGTAATAATTATCAATATATAAATATAAAAATGACTTGTCTGGAAGATTTTAATCTAATAAATCGATTGGTAACACTTTCAAACCGATTAATTAACGTTTTCATATGTTTTTATGAGAAATTTGAGTGCTTTCCGGTTTTTCGGTGCTATCCGGTGCTTTCCGGTTTTTCTATGCACCCATAACAAGGTAAAGGGTTAAACTTAAAGTCCCACCCCATTCCTATGCACTTCAGCATAATGGGAGGGCTTTTAAGTTACAATAGACGGATACCATTATCATGCCTTTAAAATTTATAATTTCTAGTTTAGGAAAACTATGAAGTTCAGTAGAAATCATAATCATGCACATACAGTAGCAAATAGTATGAAAACCTGTCCTAAATCTTCACAATATTGTCTTAAATTATCAGATAACATAAAGCAGTAAAAAGGTATTGATTAAAGGTATGTAATATTTGTGACTTGACATAATAATACCTTAGTGATATACAATTCCACCTTTAAAACACAATATTTCCTGTTCAATAATAAAATAATATCCAAGACCTGTCCAATTTCCTGTTGTCTGTCAACACAGCTATAAACACATTCACTAATACAGAAGTATACAGACTGGTGCCTCTATAAAGAATAATTCTATAGAATGTTCAATAACCAGTCTGCAAGATTATTGATTAATCTATGGACTGGTGTTTGCAGTTTATCACTAATTGTAACAAACTAAACAAGTCTGCACAATAGAATTTACAATAACAATACCATTCTCAAATAACAATAAGAGTATTGTCAATGTAAATTTCTGTGAAAAACTATTGTATTGATTTAAAAATGTTTAGTCCCAACTTTAATGGTAAGTGTATTATAATATGGCCTTCATGAAGTAATATTTGTAGTGGGATTAATATATATAGTGTATACATATACATGTACTATTATCAAAAGGTCAAAGCAAAATCTGTAATGTGAAATTTCAATTTAAGGAAATTAAAACTTAAGGTAATAATTAACAAATAAAACATGGCCTTGAGGGCAATATGCAAGTTTACGAACTGGTTGGTCAGACTGAGGATGGTATATGGCCCGAAGTGCAGCTGAGGGACATATACCTTCCGAGGTCTGACCAACCAGTCCGTAAACTTGCATTTTGCCCGAAAGGCCATGTTTTATTTGTTATATTATACCGAATCTAAATACTTTCATACCTTTTGTTGCTGTCATTTTTACTATAATTTGCTATTAAATAATATTTTTATTTGTTCAGTGTGCCAAATATCTCAAACCCTAGTCGGATTTTTTTTTATCATTTTCGAGCGATGCAGCAAAAAATCATGCTTTTCTTTTGTTATTCATTTTTTTGTTAATCGAATTAAACAGGCAAAAAAAAACCCGAACTTTCAGATTTTCACAAACTGTATAAATAAAATTTATAACCAATTTAAAGACAAATCAAGACTTTGATCAACATGTAATAAACTTATTTGAAACAAAACAATAAATTTAGTAAAAAAGACTCATTTAACAACAAAATAAAATATAATTAAATACCTCATTTGCATACGCCCTTCTATATTTAATATGACGTCATCCGGTCCATATAAGAATTATGGACCGCCCCCGGTCTGTATGCGGTTTATGGACCGGATGACGTCATATTAAATATAGAAGGGCGTATGCAAATGAGGTATAATATAATGAATTATGCCACAGAATGCAATAGTGGCTTGAGAATAATAAGCTACTACTGTTTACCGTCTACCACCCTATTATAATAACATCAGATATGTAAAATGTATTAAATCAATTATTTATTTATAGAATGATAAATAAATTTGAAAATGATAAAACAGTTTACATGAACATGAGAATGCATTTTACGTAGCATTAAATACTTTTCTTTACACTTTGGCAAAGGAATATACTGCATTTCAACTGCCAAATTTTTAGAATAATACAATGTAGCATAGTCAATCATAAAATCCCCTTTAATATAATAAACATATTTTACTAGCATGATGTACAGTGCAATAAAATATCTTAATGTACTGAAAATAACAGTATTTATGCACACAAGTGTGAAATACTTCAACATTTTAATAGATCACCTATTTGATTAAATTGACATTTTCAGGTTACTTCCCTTTAAATGTAAACCACCATTTACAACAGATAGTTATATGTCCAATGTACAGTTGTTTCCCTTTATACCTATCTGATGACATGTAAATACACAGTCTGAGGTTATGATTCTTCTGCTTGGAGCCAGTTCATATTAAAACCTTACATTATAGTTTAAAAAGAGCTTTTTCTATAGTTTCTGAAGCTGATGGCCTTTATTATAGATTTAGAATTGACAGATAAATGTTTAGAATACTCAGAAGTGTGATGAATAAAAATGCTTAAGTAACCTGTCATTGCCCTTTTTCTTATTTTTTATTTACCAGTAGATTTTTTCATACACAAAAACAATAAGTAAAAGGATAAATACAGCTAATATTCTTTTTTTAAGGTGATATAACTTCACATTTGTAATTACAGATTGTTTAAATTCAAAATTTGTATTATACAAATTCAGCAAGGCTAAGGGTAAAAGATGTTTTTTAAATTTTGGTACACAAGGGTCACCATTCTTTTTTTAAAAAAATGTTAAAATTGTCTTTCTATTCAAACAAAAATCAAGTGTTAAAAGAAAAATTTAATTTTTTAAAAAGGAAGCATTTTTAATGGTAACTATGATAGGGGGTTTTTTTGAACCTATAATTTTTCCCAAAAAGTGTCTTTACAATCCATATAAAATCAGTATTAAGATTTAAATTTAAAGATTTTTCGTTTTACTGAATCAATAAATTTCGACAATCTGTCCTACTGGGTTAATATTGTAGTATATTGGGAAAAATTTGTAATAAATATGAAAGCTATCCATGAGATAAAATTGGGAAATTTATCATAAAAATTTTAAAAATTTTAAAAACCGCTAACTTTTTTAAAAATTTACGTGAACTATTTTTATTACCCGCCATTTCAACATTAAAATTTGCATTATTTGATTTTCAGCCTACTTTTTAAGGGCCCCCGGGGGCTTTTCCAAAACCTTCTCAGCAAATGCATGTTTAACCTTTTTGGTTAAGCTTTCATTTTTGGTCATTTACTTCAAGACTTAAAATGCTGTTAATTTTATATGTTGATGCACGTTGATGAGTTCTACCCGTCACCCCCATTTCAAGTCAAAAGGTCAAAGGTCAAGGTCACTGCTATGGGTAATTGGTAATATGTCAAGGTTCATTTTCTCAGAAACTATAAAGGCTATTGAATTCAAACTTGCTATACCTGTTTATTATAAAAATGTGATGTCATATCACCTTAAACTATATTTTGTTAAGTTATTGTATTTTTTTTGCCTGGTTATTACTGCTTTGTGAAGGTCAATTTCCAATAAAATAGCAAAGATATTGACCTTCAACTTTGAATACTTGTTCACTATCAAAATTGGAAGGCATTCAAAGGGAAGTATAATTAGGCCAACATTTTTTTATAAAATGTTTTACGGGACCGCCGACCGTATTTTTAGAGAAAATCAAATGAAGTGGAGATGAAGACACTCTATATCTATTTTAGAAAATACATTCTATTTCAATATATTTCAAGTTTCGTTTCTTTAACCTTATATATATTGATGACGTTCCTAACAATGAAGCTTTGGGGAAAAAAAGGGAATAAATTTCAAAATTCTTATTTAATTAAATATAACCCCATATTTTTTTTTTAAGCTGCAATTATATCTTCGAACCTAAAATCACTTAAATCCACATTTTAATGAAAAAGCCAAATAGTATATAAAATAAAAACATTGTAATTTTAAACATTCAAATACTGTCACGCTATTTTGTACACTTTTTTCATTTTCAGATTGGATTACTTAATGCTTAAAGAAATTATAAGTTTATGTCTTAAACACATGAATAAAAGGTGACCCAAAATTATTTTTCAAATCAACTAACACATATAATTATAAAATAAAATGTTAAAAGATATGAAAAAAAATGTTTATGCATACAAATCCTATGAGAGAACAGAGCTGTTTATTCTGTTCTGTTCTGTTCCTAATACAGAACTGGTGAATTCTTTAATTCAATTCCAGAATAATATTTATTAATATATAATCCCATCTAATCCTTACATATGGCACAATTTGGCTTATCTAAACCGTCATTCATAATCTGCATTATAACATTGTCACTGTGATTTAACTCACCATTTTAATTCCATCTCTTTTTGTTTTCACATAATGAACTTCATATTCGGGTGCTCGTGGAGATTTTCTTACTTCACAAACATAACCAGATTTTATATCTCCGACATTTTCACCATTACTCGTTATTGAAACACTCCTTATAGCTCTTTCACGCGCTAATTTCTGCCTCATGTTGATTGCCGTGCCGTCACCAACTAAATAATACTTTCTCATTGGCATATTATATTATAAACCATTGAAACTGCCGGCAAAGGTTTACACAGTAAACATTCATATTTCCCTCATTATATTCTATAATGATCGCAATACCTGATCACTGGTATAAACAGTAAGTCATTTTGTCATAACAGAAATTCAGTGTCCTTGTCACGATTGAAAAAAACCAATACTCCGATCTACAGGGTATACTGTAGCAAGTTGTATAGTCGTAACTACTACACCTTTATTGCGTGTAATGACATGACGTCCATTTCAGGTGTCCTTTTATACTGTATTTCCCCGAGACCAATTAATCTACTTTTAAATTAACGAAGTACATGCAGGAAAAATTCTAATTTGATTAAATCAATGATTGGATGTTTGTACATTGTACGTCTCTGTGATCTGCAGAGCTAATTGTAATTGGTGTTCCGTGCATGATGTACTTAAAACACGGTTTGTTACTATATATATAGTAATATATAATTAAGCAAAAGATTGACAAAGTTGTTATTAATCCAGGATTATAAATCAATACGTTCCGCTGGTATTCTTTTACATAATATGACTAAAATTCAATACATTATGAAACAAAATATATATAATGAAACAATATATATAATGGAACATATACATGGACAAAAAATAAAATATCTTTTGATTTAAAAAAAAAGAAGAAGAGGAAATATCATGTTTTTCTACCTGCAAATCCATTTCATTAATTTAATCAAGACAAATTTTGAATATTACTACAATTTCACTTTAAATGTCATTTTCAATATTAAACTTTATACATCTATATGGGAATATGTACTAGAAAACTCATTATGCATGCAAAAATTTTCTTTCATTTCATTCAACAACATAAAGTTAAACAAATTTAACATCTTTTACTTATACAATATAGATCTCAGCTTAAAAAATCACATCAATCAATCAATTCAATTTAAATTCTATTACTTTTTATTTGACTATACAAATGATTTTGAATTCAAACTTAAAAGAAAGTCACTGGGAAAGAACATCTTATTGGATTTCTTTCACATGCAATAAAAGAAATATCTATATTCACTATGAAGTACAAAAAACAACTTAATTTAAATTTGATTTCTTTTATTTTCTTTGAAAAAACGACTTTTTTAAACTTTTAATTTCAAAATTTAATGACCTGTGAATAATGTGCCCCTCTTACAACACTGAACCTTAGCCCACTTATTTTGTATAAGGGAGTCTTAATGCTTGTCCTTGATAATTATAAGGATTCAATATCAAAAGAATTATTTAAATAATTTCACTTTCTAAATACAAAATATGAGCAATCAGTGGTATATGGTAAATGCAGGCTTGCCTGGAGAAATAAGTGAAGACTGGCCTGGGCTAGTAAGTGCTGACTAACCTGGGCAAGTAAGTACAGGCTGGTCGGGGCAAGTAAGAGGCAGGCTGGCCTGGACAAGCAAGGGTAGGCTGGCCTGGGTAAGTAAGTGCATAGTAAGTGCTGACTGACCTGGGCTAGTAAGTACAGGCCGGTCTGAGCAAGTAAGTGCAGGCTGGTCTGGGAAGTAAGTGCAGACTGGCCTTGTCAAGTAAATGCAGACTGGCCTGGGCTAGTAAGTGCAGACTGGGCTCAACTAGTAAGTGCAGACTGGCCTGAGTAAGTAAGTGCAGACTGGCCTGGGTAAGTAAGTGCAGGCTGGTCTGGGCAAGTGAGTGCAGACTGGCCTGGGATAGTAAGTGCAGACTGACCTTGGCTAGTAAGTGCAGGCTAATCTGGGCAAGTAAGTGCAGGCTGATCTGGGTAAGTAAGTGCAGGCTGGCCTAGGCTAGTAAATGCAGACTGGCCTGCGTAAGTAAGTGCATAGTTAGTGCTGACTGACCTGGGCTAGTAAGTACAGGCTGGTCTGGGCAAGTAAGTGCATATTGGCCTGGGTAAGTAAGTGCAGACTGGCCTGGGTAAGTAAGTGCAGGCTGGTCTGAGCAAGTAAGTGCAGACTGGGCTGGGCTATTATGTGCAGGCTAGCATGTGCAAGTAAGTGCAGGCTGGGCTAGAAAGTAAGTAGAGCTGCCTGGGAAAAGTAAGGTGGCCTTAGGTAATTGCAGCTGGCTGGGCAAGTAACACAGGATGACCTTGGCAAGTAAGTGCAGGCTGACCTGGGGCAAGTTTAATACAGTGGTAGCAGTTGACATTATCATTCAAATATGGCCTAAATATTGACTTACTGATCTAGTAAATATGCCTTGGCTTGTACTGTTAGACAAGCCGGCCTTAACGTGCTGAATTGCTTAGGGAACTTGTTCAGGCTTCCTGGGAATAGTACATTATCGGCTTTGGGAATCAGGTTTCAACTCTAAAGTCAGGCCAACAGTATAGAGCCTGGTCAGACTTCACAGAGGTGCATGCTGGCCTGGCTCTGTACTCAGGTGGCAATTGCTTATCACTTCCCCTTCCAGCAGAGCAAGGCAAGGCTTATTTTTGCTAGAGTCCACTAGGTATCTGGAACTAACCAGAACTGGTGCCATCAGGAAACATTTAATTAGTTTTGTCCAAAATAGGGTTCAAACCCACAACCCCTTCTTCCAGAGGCTGACCCAGAGGCTGACCCTTTATCCATTTGGGCACTGTTTCCCTAAATTGTTGGAGGATATTAAAAAGTTCATAATGGAAATTACTATGTAATGAATAATAATATACTGTAATAGCTTGACCGTGACAGTAATAGATCAATTGTCTTATTAATTATGCAAAGCCTCATTTTCCTGTATTTACAAACAAGATCAGAACATTGCAATATCCTGATACTGGTCAGAACTGACAAGTTTCATGAAGATGGATGTTATGAGAACAAAATGATGTCCAAAGTAATCAGAATGGCAGCATATATATTTTACTAACAAAAAAAATTATAAATTAAATTAAATTAAAAATTAAAAATATATAATATAAATTTGTAATATTGAACATTAATTTTTAGACTAATTTGTCATTTATAAGCAAATTTGTTGCCACAAGGGAGGTAACTGATGAGTTTAAATTATTTCCCTTTATCTTGCATGAAAAATGCCAATTGCGGAGCATAATGTGTTTAAACAAAAAGAAAACTAATATCAATTATTCAAACTATACTTAGAATTGCAATTAAAGCTCATTGCTTTATATAAATATTAGATGAACAAAAGGATGCGACTAGAAAGTGAGTATAGTAAATAGTAAAAGGTAAACAAGATCTATACCCAGACAGCATGCTCCACTTGTGTTGGATAGCTTAACTAAAGCAAAGCCAAAAAGGGGCGGCATAATTTTGCAAACATTAAATTGAGGATTAATTGCCATTTTTAAAAATGGTGTCACATTTTGATAGCGAATATTTATATAACCAATGCCGATTAGTGGGTTGCAACATTATAGCTCAACTTTTTGTCTTTGAAATAAAGTGATAATGGCTATGAAGTTAAGGGATATATTCATTCATTCAGGGATAAACAGCGAATTGACTAGATATAGTAGATATAGAAGATTTCCCTGCAGATTTGACACTATAGCCTCTATCAAACATACATATAACTTTTGTAATGAACCCAATTTGTGATATCTGATATATTAGAGGTATTATTTGCAGTGGTAAATGTGAAAAGAAGAAAGAAAGTCATGAGTGAAACAATATGTAAAAGTACAACAAAAAATCAGTAAAGCGCTGACCCCTGGGATTCATGGATTGCCAAGTCCAGTAATTGCCAACCACTATACCACTAATGACAGCCTCATTGTCATGGCCATTTTTTTAGCTAATTGGCTGTATACAATAAAATCATCACCTTGGTGCAGTTATAGGTTAAGTCCTATAAAATTATTTAGCCCATTACTGCACTCGGGTGACAAATTATGCTTAAGTTATTTTTAACTTACATACATGTACTTAGGTGACAATATATTAAAGTTATTTTAAACTTATATTGTGATATCACACACACATGCAAAGGTATAAATTTTGAAGATCTTAAAAATACACTTATGACTGGTTAGAAAGGTACTTGAAATACATTTGCACAGTTTAAGTTCATGTCATCTAAAAGTTTATTACAATAACGATCAGATCTAATAATGGCGTAAATATATCAGTTAGTTCAGCCCTTTCATAAAGTCAAGATCGCTACAAAGATTTTTCATTATACTTGAAGGGTACAATTTTTTTTTTTTTTTTTTGAAAACTTTTATATTCAAATCAATTATATTAAATGAAAATGTTAAACTGAGTGATGGGTTGTGGAAAATTACAAACAAAATTAGACTTCACGATCAATACATTTTCAAAAAAATCAATTTCAAATTTTGCGGCACAAGC